ATCGCAAATTCGTCCTGGGATTGTTTCTTTAACGCAAGAACCATGAATTTGAAGGGTGTCTCAGTTTGTCATCAAAAACGTGGGAAATGGGGGAAGTTTATGAGCGTACAAAAACAACTTGAAGTGTCATGGGATTGACTCCTCGTTGTCTCACCATAACGTGGAGATCATAGATGCGATTAAGACGTAGCTGAGAGCTGTGGCACATTTGGAATTCTCCGCTTGGATCTACAGAGGCACTCATTGCACTGTGGGATGTGTATGTGTATGCGTCTATTAGGGCCTTACAATAACAAAATTCACCAATATTTAGCGACTGTTACAGTCTCAAAATCTCATAATTTTCTTTTTTTTTGTTATTAAAGCTTTGCCAATAGGTATAATTCAGTGCCTCCAAAACGAAAATGACGATCATAGTGGCGCTATTTGGTACAGTTTGGTACCAAATGCAGCCTAGTTCGTCTTACACCAGCGTGTAGAGGGTATTCACTACCCTGATCATGAACATAGCATTCAGTTTTGATGCAGATATCGTTTGATGCCATTTTGGCGCAATGGATCCAATAGTGGCTCCGAACTGTCACGAAAAGGCGCTTGCGACAGATGCAGGTCGTGTTATGAAGCTCTCTAAAGTATCCTATGAAAGAATTTTCAACAAAAAATCGACTCTTTGAGGCTTTACTGGTGCAGGCGCCTAGGGTTCCCATATTTCAATATTTAGAATCCAAAATTCCTTTGTTGCAATCATGTTCCAGCAAATATATTGCTCCTCATTGTTCTTCCTTCATCACTGCACTTGTTTTCAGTGATTTCACGGTAAAGAAAGTGAGTCTGAAGGACAAAGGTCAGTACGACAGAATAGACACAAATGGTGAAGTCCTTTCAGTTGCCATTGATCCCAAAGAAGAGGTGAGCTTGTTTTTTTTTCGCTTCAAACAGATATTCTTAAGGAATTATCTTTTCTTGTTAGCCTGCTTATTTGTCTTGTCTGCTTAGGCTGCTCAAGAAATATAGTGTTCACTCCCGTCGTTAGAGCAATGGAAATTCCAGCTTTGATTACGGAATTTCTTTCAGGTGTACGCTGTGGCATGCTGTGATGGATCTGTCAGTATTATGGACATTTCCACAAATCAGAAGCTCCGTTCATTAGAACACATGTTCACCCCATTTGGAGACGTTGGGTAAGACACAGGGCACTGTTGTGAAAATTGTTTGATTAGTCCATTTCTTACTTGTGTCGAAGTGTTGAGGACGATGTGCATGCCAGAAGGCGTTTTCAGAGTTGAAAACCCTCGTCATGCACTAACTTGGTCTAAAGATGGTTCGGAATTGTTTGTTCCATCCCAAGGATGTGTCAAAGTTATAACAAGAGATGGCTGGGAATGCGTTTACAACAACTTCAAGTCTTCTGGAACGTCCTCGGTTTGATATAACTTGATAGTGCTGTATTATTATAGGTTTACGCTTTATGCGAAGCGATCGGTTTCAGGATGTCTTCTCTACTTCGTGTCTATCGAAATGTGGTCGTTACTTATGTTCCTCTACGCTTTCGAATAAAATAGTCGTTTGGAATGTCTTGGACAGGTATATATCCACATGATATGCTTGACTATGTGTCAAGTTCTTCTTGCGAGCGGTTTTTGATCGCATTTTGGTTACCTTTTTTGTCCCAAGAAATCACTATGTTGCGTGTGTACATGCCGCTTCGTCTTATCATCTTTTTTCAGTTTACGGTAGTTTTTGTCTTACTTTATTTTTATTTCGATTTTCTACTTTTCGAGAATGTGCCGAGAGCGTGAAAAAAGTGAGGCTATGTAATTATGAATTGTATATTTGTAAGGCAAGCGTGCTTCCAGATCTGTTGTGTCACATACTGTGTACGACAAAAGGGCCGGGAAGGCAATCATATCATGCACAAAATTTTGCCCGTTCAACGATAATGACGTGATTCTTGTTGATGTAGAGGTAAGAACTGTGTCTGTAGAGTGAGGCAGAATTGTTGGTGCACCTATTTTTGGTGCCATTTTGACAGCAATGTTTTAGAAATCAAGCCTAACTCTATATAATTTAACACAAACATAGCAATGCAAAAACACGAACAAACGCTGCCCATGGGTCACACAGGTTCTGATCATTAGTTTCATCCAAGGATTTCAAAATCGCTGCCTGAGAAGAGTCGAAACTCAGAGGTTGATAAGAGGATAAGGCAGGCTACAAAGCGACCCACACTGAAAAACCAAATGGGTCCAAGTCCGGAGAAGGAGAAGGGTAATTGCCCTCCCAGATGTGATAGTCAGCCCACGTTCTAGGACGTTTACCAGGATCATTTTGTAAACCTCTTCAACACTGGTTTTTACGAAAGCGGGTCAGGTTCTCAGCGCCTATGACTATCTTCAAACCATGACAATACATGTTTTTTTTTCTCACTGGTTTGTTTTTCGTCGGATGCATCACCATGTGTTCACTTGTTCCGTGGGGCCTCTGAATTTAGATTTTTCCAAAACAGCGCTTCCGGAATCATGGGATGTGTCCTCGACCACTGCAATACTGTAATCGACTAACTACTCTTCCTTAAGGGCTTCTCGAGTGGGCAGAGTGCGGAGTATCTTCTAAGATCGACACACTTTCTAATTCTGTTAGCATAGGAACGGCCCATCCCTCCCCCTACGCACCCTCAATCTCTCTGCTAATAAACATTCCAGTGAGCCGACGTTTTATCGTTACATTAAAAGGGCCATCACACCCTAGTCTTCCAGTACCCATCCTAGAAGGACGGAACCGGCCCCGGTAGCGTATCTTGTGTTGCAGTTGTGCGCAGTTGCCCGTTAAACGAGAGGTGCGGATTCGAGTTCCCCCTGGGTGAGTTTTCACACCACAGTACTTCACTATTTCCATTCTGTAACAAATATGTTATTGGAAGCATTCTGTATGAGAAATTGTATGAGAAAGTCATCGCGAATGAGTAATTACAGCGCTTTGACAAGAACATAGTGTAAGTTGGAGATTAAGGTGTTTGGAGTAAAAATAGTTAAATATCCGTGGGAATAGATCTTTGTGCCCACACAAAAAGCATTTTCTGACCTTATGTTTCGATATTGGTAACATTTGCACATTTGGGCAGTGCTTTGTGATAGTCTGTATTTTAGTACACATCCTTATCACATTGTTTTTATCCAGTGAAATGTGCTACACTTGTGTGATAAAGAAAATATTTCAGGAGGGGCTCTGTATGTTGAAGAATGGTGTGCCTGCATCCGCTCGTGAAAGTACGCTCCCAAATAAGACATGTTGATTCTGCAGAATCCGACGATATTGACAAATTTGAGGTAAGTCATGTTTTTGCTCACCAACATTACTACTCTTTGAAAAGCGATTAATTAAGGAGGAGGATGACGAATCAAACAAATCTCCAACGGGAAACTTCCTTGATAATGAAGCTGAAGACGATGGTGATACTAAAAGTTTGTGTCATCTTCCTTGATTTCATTTTCGTGTCTATATGCTTCTTGCCCTTCTAGTGTCTGTGGATATTGGGGCTATCAAAAGAAAGTATGGCTTTGGTGATGATGGATCAGGCAATCTCGAGGATTATGGGTTTACGGTTTCGGACGAAGCCCCCAGTAAAAGCCGTTACCAAACTGCTCGTGATCCACTAAGGTCAGCTTTTTTTCATATCTCGCCTTTGGAATCACCTCTAAGTTTTTGTTGATGTAACGCAATCAATATGCATTTCTTTTAAGCGGTGGCAGATAGATTCGAACGCATAACAAGCGGTGCATTGAAGGTTTACGTGCTATGACATAATTTTACTTTAGTATTGCTCCTACTGCTCCGCCTCCTCAGGTTATTTCCTATGAACCTCCAACGATTCCCTCTTTCTTCGTGTCTGGCGCGTCGCCCGATCACCTCAGTCAGCGCTATTTGGTTCGTTCCGTGTACACTGTGCTGTGTTGTGTGCTGCTGTTACCACGTTGTGGACACTAATAATTTCATGATTCGAATTTATTCGTTTGTAGAAATGGAATGCTTACGGAATCGTGCGAACTTATTCGGGAGAAGACGGGAGTAGCATTGAGGTATTTTAACAAGGTGTATGCCTTTTATGTTTTCATGTCTTTTTCCGCATAATGATATAGTGTAGTTCCAATTCTGATGCTCTTAATTGTTTCATTCATTGTGACATATACCAATCTCCCTCTTGCAGATCACATTTCATGACGCTTCTATTCATCCCACAATTGTTCTTGACAATGGAACAACGGGTTACGTGTTGGCTGATCTTTCCGATCAAGCCGTTGCCTTAGCAAGCAAGCCTGAAGAGAAGGGTGAACAAAGGTCGGTTTTTCTCTTCTTTCGACTTGAGGCCGCGAAATTCACGTAGCCTTTTTAATTTGGAATATAATATATGCTTCTTTTCCAGAGTAAATAGTGATTCGCGGATTTTTTCTGGACAGTGGTCCAAATCGAAGTGGAACATAAACTTCCATTGAAAGATGACGCGTGGCAGTTCTGTTTTGTATACTATTTTGTTACTACTAATG